ATCCCCCGGCGGTGCCTCGATGCAAATGTTCTCTTCGCCGGACGTCTTGTTCGTTTCCGCCTCTGCCGCAGGATCTTCTTCTACACCGACCTCGACGTCCACGTCCACCAGCCTCCCCAAGCAATACCGAAAGAGGCAGCGGCGACGGCTCTTCAAGGCCACGAGCTCCCCGGAATCCATCCTCTGGTTGATGCAGCAAAAAAAGCATGTCTGGCAGTCGTGCTCCCTTCTGCACGCCCTGCAGTCCCCACAGCGATAGCGTTTCGAGTACATGATCTTCCGGTTTTGGAGGGCCACCGCGTCCGCTCCCGTTGCCCGTCCGGTGGGAGGGCCTCCCCGGCTCCTCCGCAGGKCGACGGTCCCGCCCTCGTGGAGCTCCCCGTGGACGAGCTTCTTCTTGGCGGACCGCTTCGGCTGGGAGCGGGTGGGGGCGTCGTTCTGGACCTCCCTGCCCGTGCCGGGGGGCCTCCTGGGCCTCTTTCTCTTGGCGGAGGGGTTCGGTTTGTGGTCCACCAGRCCGAGCTGCGCCAGCCGTTCCTCGTTGCGCCGGATCCGCKCGATGCGGAGCCTCTCGTAGGCGGAGATTCCGCCGGTCCGGTCCGGTTCGTCGCTGTCGCTTTCGGATTCGCTGTCGGATTCGGATTCGCTGTCGCTTTCGCTTTCGGAACCCTCTCTCGAATCGGAGGGCGAGCCCCCGGACCCGCGGTCGGACCCTGCTGCCCTTTCGCCTTCCTTTTTCCCCAAAAAACGATCCGTGGGGGTCGCGGGATGCGCCGGTGTGCTTCCTCGTTCGTCGCCTTTTTTCGCCACTTCCTCGCCGGCCGAATCCGAACTCCTGCTCACGGAGGCAGCGATCGCGTCCGTGCTTCCATCCTTTGCCGTCGCCCTTGTGGAAGAGGGTGGTGTTGGTGGCGTTGGTGGTGCGGATACGGCGCTCGTCATCGTTCGGAACAGATCGGATCGAATCGGATCGGATCGGATCGAATCGGATCACAATCACCATCAACGATGGGTGGGGCCTACATGAAATGGGAACGGAGGTTGCTGGGAGCACASACTACGATACGCGCCGTACACAACTTCACGACTTTGTACGTACAGAATACACACCGCATTGCTGCTTGGGACGAAATCTGATCTACCGCACATACTTTTTGTTGGTGCTCAAAAACTTCCATGCTTTCTTTCGAAACCGAAGTCACGAGAAACGAAATGCGGCGCGGCGCGAGTTTGGTATGCTATATACCTTTTATAGATATGTATGGATACTACGAGTTTCGTAAAAATTGAAACCGGACTCCGCCAGAGAGCAATGAGAAATAATTTCAAGTTCGTTATTAAAGTAACTTTTGCTCGTACATCATGTACCAGGTTCTACTGAGCTTGTTTTTAAAATGACCCTCAGAACGAAACAAAATGGTTCGAGGTGATTCAATTATGAATCCTGGCCTTTCAATCATGAATGCCATCCAAAAACTAGCTCAGTAGAACCTGGTAGACTTTCTACCGGGACATTTTGAAGTTCATAACTTCGTAACATTAGTATGTACGAAGTACTTCGGTATGTGATTCAAAATTTGATTCCTCATGGATGTGTCCATTCATTCAGGGGCTATTGAATAAAATTATTGCGCCAAGGTTCTAGAACCGTACTGGTAATGGCCATTCTCTATCAATTCAAACCAAAGGGACAGAACGGTACGTACCGGTACGTACGTATCGACTGATAGATTTATTCCTCTTCAAACCAACGAACCTGTTCCAAACAGCGAACCTCTTCAAACCATCGAAAACTTGAAAAAAGAGAACACTACTTACCTTAAACCCTTAATGAATCAACGTACTGAACCACCGATTCAAGTACTAGAAGTCTTATAGTAAGTCTAGTGTTAAGTGAATATGATTAGATTGACAATTCTCTTTCCGAAGTACATTGGGACTGACGTCGTTAAAACCMAATTCTAGGCCATTCTCACATACCATAGGTCATCATCTCAATAGGACACCAYGTCATTGATATAGCCCGGTCATTTGGTCCGCAGAACCGGGTTTTAACACCCCTCCGTCTTCAGTTGCGTTTTCGTTCATACCAAAACCAAAACCGATGCATTGATCGGTAGCTCTAATATGCTTGCTGGAAAGAAGTTCTCATCGTGTGTGCGTGTGTGTATTTTCGAACGCTCCAAACTGGAGTTATTGAGAGGTGTCTCCTAAATCGCAACCCGTTCCATTTTCGATCCTCGGCTCCTCACTTTCACCGTGTCCGCAAAAGCAAAAGCACAAGCAAAAGCAAAAGCACAAGCGACCGACCACACTGTACCGCACAAACTAACACCCACCCACCCACAGATCACGAGCTGCCGAAAAGGTTCGAAAGCCATCCCACGCCCAAGCCCGCTCCGCAATGAAGCTTTCCGCCTCCACCCTTTTTCCCTCCGCCCTGCTGCTCGGTTGGCTGGACGGGTCTTTCTTCGTTTCCGGGAGACAAAGCGAATTCGAGACCGAGCCCATAGCCCGAAAGATGGGCCGCTGGGAGGTCGCAAGGGTGGGCAGCGACGGCAGTGGCAACGGGGACGACGGGGCCCTCCCCTATGCCATCGTGGATASCCTCGAACCCCTGACCGGAGAGGTCTACTTTGAGGTCAACAAGGACAACTTCGAGGACACCGATCCGATCATATACGTGGAGGTCTTTGCACGGGTTTCCGAGGGAGCCCCTTGCCACACGGGGTACCTCGTCGAGGGATCCCATCGTTTCACCATCACCACCGGCTTCGAGCCCTACGACGACTACGCTTATCCGAAATACTCCAACGGCCGTGTCGGAAGGGCCATGTACACGATTTCYCCCAGCCCGTTCGACATGGGGGAGCGGCAGCGGATCTTCTTCGAGAAGGACGAATTCCGACCCCAGCGCCAGTTGCTATATTGTAGGTTTCGTTCGTTCGCTTCGGATCCTTGTGTTGCCTGTTGCTGGATCACACTCTCGCCGCGAATTTGCCTTGTGTGTGCGTTTGCGCTGCATTCCGTATTTCTCAAGGGAGAAGATTTTCTATATCTCTCTCATGATATTTCATTTCTCTTTGTCTCTTGATCCAATGATTTCTTGCCGCTGCAYACCCCAGGCGTTCGCGTGTCCACGAAAGTAGACTTCATGGGCGATAGYGAATTGGATCCCGTTGGATATATCGACACGTTTATGAAGGTGAATGTGCAGATGGTTGGCACGTTTTCCTCCACCTTAAGCACCGACGTCGAAGTCGACTCCAGTGACTCTTCAAACGCCCAAACCAGCATTTTGGCACGCATCCCGTTGGCTTCGTATCTGTGCGACTCCGAGAGAAATCCGATCCTCGAAGGCACGAAATACATAATGGGCCAAGTCTTTCGGTACGTGCGCGAACGAGACAGAGGATCTAAAATCCGCGCCTGTAGGATACTCTCATACTCCAGCCGAATGCTGGCAAGCTGTTCTTTTTTCCCTGAYCCACTCTTCTTTCCGTCCTTCTTCTTTCTGTGGCCTCTGCCTTGTTTCGCGTATGAAACGTTCAGAGTTTGCGTTACCCCGGCAGAAAACCTCTCTGACAACCGGCGATCCCTGCAAGAAGGGGACATCGAGTACTCRGTGGTCGGATTCGATAGCATYCATTGCTCGAACAACGGGGTGTATCGCGAGCTTGTTGAAAAAGAGCTGCCAGGTACCCGGACCACGGTCGATCCGGTCCCGGACGCCATCGGGTCGCTCTCCTTCGCGTCCGTGGTCGACYCGGAATTTTTTGTGGAGGGCGAATCCTCGTTCTGGTGCGACGGCCGGGTGAAGATCCGGTACAACGGTGACACCATAGGCATGCGATCTCGATTCCTGCGGGAGGACGGGGACGAATACGGCACTTTCGATCTAGAACTCGAAATCGACCAGGACCCGCTYGGGTCGCCGCCGGCTTCTCGTCCCTTAACGCTCTGGGAGATGGTGCTGGGAAATTAGTAGTTCTAGCATAGAATCTTGGATGACCAAAACTTTTCAGTAGACCTTGAGAACTAAATAGCATATGTACGAGCACAAGTAGAAAGACACAAAAGCATATAACTCATTGTTTCGAATGGGTTGGGAAGAATTGTTTTGTTTGAGGCCATAGAGATCATGTTTTGTTGCGACGTGTCCAGGACGGCATCCAACATGATGCACAACGGGTGGCGAAATATTGCTAACCATTGCGATCACCGCACTACGCGTTTTGATTTATAATTATCGGATTACKAATCGAATCATTCCTCTACCTACTTGCATTYMACAGATGCTACAATAACCATATGAAGAWGGAATAATGTTTACTCCAGACGAAACTCTTTCAATTTTCTTTCATGTATTGCTTTGTATGTTGCGGCTATTCAAATCACCKTTCCAACGCTACTCGTAGGAAAAACACCGGACAGACTGSYTGGTGAAAAGGTTCTTGGATTGCTATGATTTGCGTTTTCCCTTCCCTATTGTTTCCCGACAAACRCAATCGAAAWAAAAGTAACGCCTTGGCGTTAGTGATTCGTTGAGTGCTCGGTTGTTTTGTTTGTTTCCTCACAGGTCAACCTCTTTCCTGCGAGTATCATTTGATCTTGGTACATCACATGTTGCAACAATAATCTGTTTTGCCAACATGCTCTTCGTGATWTTYGTTTTGGGTGTGCCATGCGCCGCACTTTCTACAGATTTTTCTTGGTAGTGTTTTGACCCCAGTATAGTGACAGCGATGTTTGTKATCGTGATTGTGATGAAGTTGTACCATATTGTTAGGTCGAAGATATGATAATTGTGTGTTGGACGAAACCCTTTCCCTCCCCTTTCYGTAATCTGAGCGACGCTTTTCTCAAAYAGCACCACTATTCGAGTCGTGAAGCCCAAGCGCCTCGAAATATTTGTCGACGGGCCCGTGGTCAAAGCTGCGATGAGAGTTCCTGCTTCCCGAGGAGATCGATGTTTTGCTGGTGCTTGCTGTTCTGCTTTTGAGRTGYTGGCTTGCGTAAAAAATRGGGRGTTCTTCTTCGTTTTCACTTCTGTAGTAGCTGTCGTTGTCGCTAGCAGACGTGGAATATATGGAAGACGACGACGACAACGGCTTACGGATTTCTCTGTACGAATCCTCGCCCTCGTCAATGGTGTCGAGGTTGGAATAAATGACGGATTCACTGCGTCGAATGTAGTTCTGATTTCTCTTGGAGGAGTGACTTCTGCTCGACCTCGAAGAGTGCTGTTTGTCGATTGTGGGTGATTGCACCCGCGGAGACAATATCACGGACTGAGTTTCCCATGACGAAGCTACCGAAATAGTAAACACCGAATCGGTAGCGATCGTGCCCGAAGCAGAAGATAGAGACGATACCCTCGAAACAACCGAATTTTCGTCGCCCGTGAAYCCCTTTTCTTTGGCATCCACCACCGCCGCGGTCTTCTTTGCCTTCTTTTTCTTTGCCTCGGGAACAGAAGGAGCATCCTTTGATCCGCCTTTCTTCTTTGAAGCAACCTTAGGGTTGTTGCTCAGGTGTYTGTGGATGTGTGCGCTCAGGTGACAAAACATTTCCTTTTCAATGGGGTTGTGCTCGTCCGTRCACGTCGAAAGATCGTCCACCAAGGATCGTTGTTGCCGCTGGCGCCACCTCTGGTGCTCGTCGAATTTTCGTCGTTGTTCCGCAGCGTGGTGGAGTTTMTGTCGCTGCCGCTCGGATCTTCSGCTGTCGCTGCTGCTGGTGCTGAATTTACGCACCGGTGCGTAAGAGGTTTTGCTGTCGTCTCGGGAGAGCGCGGCAAGAATTTCCGCACTCTCGGCGGTCAGAATGATCGGGTGGTCTCCCTGGCGGCCGTGCCCTTCGTAGTAGGAATCGCACAATTCGTCTCCATCGTCGACGCTGTCGCGGATGTCTCTGCTGTCGTCCTCCATCAATTGTGGGTGCTCGTGACATTCRTATTCGACGATGCTGCTGCTGTTGTTGCCGAAGAATTTTGGCAGGGTGTCCACGCCATAGTGCTGAGCGGGTTGCGAATCGTCACGCTCCTCTCTGCTCGGCTTGTTGAAACACAGGAGACGCTTCGGGTCCGCGGACGAGGAACCTTCTCGCCTTCCTGCTTTGGCTCTCAGRGCCTTCTGTATTTCCAACTCGCAGTCCTCGAAAAGCCTCTCCTCAGAAGGTTGCAATGGATCGTTGCCTTTGTCGTCGCTCTTGCCACTACCCTTGCGGAATATTTTCATGATGGATGGTTGGTCGTTCACACTRGCGGAGTTTGGCGGCCGTCKCTCTCTTTTGTGATGTCGTAAGTCTAGGGTGCATTTATCTSGGTAGCAACTTGAATAACCAGTYGCTTTGCTGAAAAGCTTGTCGTTGTCAATATCCTCTTCGATTTCGTCTTCGATCTRCWAACGACGGATTGATGAAGATTTCTTTTGGACTGTTCTCTGCCTGCGGTTCCATGCAGGGGAAGCCTTGTCCATTTCTGCTCGCGAATGGAGGCGAAAACCTCGGGCTTATACTRTCTCATAGAGAAAGAAACCACACCCGCGTTCCATTAGCGGCAATCATTCCTGCGGTCGAGCACGATCGATCGATCCTTCTAGGACTCCATCCATCAACGGATTGTTCGATGAGCGTTGAGTAGGTGTAAAGCGATTCCTAACATCTTTTGAACGGAGGGAGAGATTTCTTTCCAAGGCTTTTCAAGTCGAATTTTTGATCGCGATTGCTAAGTACCATAATGGGCGAGAGCTTCATTATTTTGCGGTTATTATGCGGGTGATCGCAATTAGGCTATTATGATGCGACGGTTATATRCGTACGACCCACTCGACTAGTGTTTGTTTTCGGCGATCGTGTCATCACTGTGTACCATCCAACCTGTCGTTCAATCATCSGTTTGTGCGTTCCACCTTTCTGATCATTCATATGCATGAAGCGTACGTACCATATCATACATATGAATCATACATATGAAATAACTTAGAAGTACTAAAGTACGAGTACCGTACTGTACTATTCTCTATTCTCTACCGTGCCGAAACTTTCTGACGATGACGACGATGATGGTTTTGTCGTMTTGATTTCAATGAACAGATTCATTCTCCCTCGAGCTGAGAACAAAATAATCGATCAKACACTTTTTCACTGCCTATCCTTCGTCTCTCGTAATACTGTCACTAGAGCCGCATTGCACTCGGCGTCTTGCAAGATTCAGCTCGTATAGCACGAGTACTTTCGTCTTCGGCTCTTCTGAAAGGCTTTTCTTGACTCGACTTGCTCCCCGCGCAGCGATGAAGTGGCCGAACGGAACGGGCCTCTTGGCTGCCGCCGCCAACGGTGGAGCATCGCTGRTCCTGACCCTGGTCACGGCCCGTTCCGCCTCCGCGGCTGCGTTCGCGGCGAACGGTCTTGCGGGTTCCGGTCGGCCCCAACCGTGGATCGGTGCCCGGCAGCACGGGCCCGTTCCACCCGGTTTCTTGCGGGGTGCTCCGTTCCTCGAGTGCCCGTCCCGGAGATCGTTCTCCGTTACCAAACGAAGCGGGAGCAAAAGCAGCGTTGGYGTCAGCAACAGCGGAACGGACGGGGATTGCGGATGTGGTGAGGGGACCGGGGATTCGGGTGAGCGATTCGGAATCGAGACCGAACCAAGCGAGATTGGGAAGCTCCTTAAATCCACAGAGCTCACAAACATCGATGGGAGCCGCGTGCCGCTCGGTGACTATTTTGGSGACGGRGACGACGCTACCATCGTTGTCTTYCTGAGGCACCTTGCGTGAGTCTACTGCTGGAGTTATGCCAATCAGTGGATCGATTACGAAGAGCAACTCCAGCATAATCAACAACAACAACAACAGAGCGCGTCCCTTCCAACCAACGGAGCAACAACAAYGAGCGCAACTTCCACCACAAACCGCTTCTCTATTGGCGGACCAATTTTTGTTTCGATTGGGAGCGTCGAACAACTGAGGACCTTCTTGGAGGAGAACCCGAGAATTCCGAGGGACAGGATCCTCGTCGACGACTACCGCCACCGGTCCTACAAGGAAACAATGAGATTTCGGCGKTTTGACGATGCCGAATCGCTTGAATCAGTCTTCTCCGATGGGAGYATTCCACAGATTCTAGATCTCRCCCGGAAGCTCGTGGTCCCGCTGTTTACAGTGGTAGGGGTCCAACGGCTGCTGCGGTCCTATCTGAAACGCATCCCGGATCTCGCGCCCGTAAAACCCGGARAMAGACTCGACTGGACCGATCTCCCCGAGGGAGGCCTTCGAAAYGGAGGTACCATCGTGGTTGGTACAACCCTCAACAACAACAAYGAAGAGGAGGAGGACGGAGCCCTGCTCTATCGCTGGAACGACAAAGTCCCCGGCGATGTGCCGGCCCCCGCCGACGTGTACAACGAGGCCTTGTCGGTCCTACAGCGCAAGGCGTAACCTCGGTGCACAGCAGAGCAGCGCAATACAACACGGCATGATTCCGGGCGCACACCACGGAAAGTGGTACACAGAACTCCATGGCCGACCGGGTGATGGTCCGTGAATGACGCGCGGGAACCCAAACGGAAACTCGAACCCAACAAAAAAACAAACAAACAAACAAACAAACACCAAACCCGCCCGACGCAAACCAATCTCTGGTTTTGCTCTGCTTTGCCTCGTCTAGTCCCGGTTTGCCGATGGGCACGAAGCCCAACGATGCACGCAATGCAATGCCATACTATTCTTGCACCGGCTCGTGTTTTGATTTGTGTTGTTTGGTTTTGGTTCGAACCTCCTTTTGTGGTGTCCCGGGCCGAGAAACGAGCCAGCCTCACCCATTCACAACTGGAAACACCCCCAACATAGCGTGGCGCRAGGRAMAAAAATATCCTAGTAGATACCTAGTGAGGATTCTAGTSGCACATRTTAGTGTTCTACTGTAATTGAGTAATTGCAGYCGATTTTCCATTTTCTCATTCTCCACAAAATCAGGGGCACGTCCATGCAATCGAAAGMATCACCATAAAATTCGATGCTTGTACATTCCCCCCCATCCATTGCCATCTTGAATCGAGACAAAAGAACTTCGTTCTCTTGCATTCAACCGTAGCGGACGGTACGATACGTACGGTAACAACATACTGAAATTATGTAT